GCCAGGAGTAGCGAACAAAAACAACTTAAACTTTATTGAGAGATAACTGAGAAGCCATGTACACAATAACATTACTAGAACGTTAGTGTGTATGAACTTTAGCTGCTGCAGTAAATCTGTGTTCTGTATTTATATGGTGGACTGAGACAGAACCTTGGTGGGATATGCCTTGGTAGGAAATGGCTCCACGGAGGTGCGTCCACCCTAAGCATTTGTGGAGGGTCGCATGATCGCATTCGCCACCTCCCTTGTGCTGGTGGCACGTCGTCGGTACCTCTTTTAAGAAACGAAGAAACCCTTTTAGTCGCCCTTTTATGTTTGGTGAAATATTCTTTAGGTATATTATGCCACAAGAAGCTCCTTGGGATGATATCCCTCCTAAATCACTTCTACAATTCAAATTCCTAAATGGGATCGTGAAGCTCATTTCATGAATACCGCTACAATACTGTTCACAATGCCTCTTCAATGCCATCACTGACATGAAAAATTGTAAGCTGTACGCAGAGATGATAAATGATGAGGAATTCGTTTTATTTTATTAGATAAAGGACAGAACTTTTCCAGGAAAACAAAGTTCATTTGAAAATATTCACAACATCTATTGAAACTAAAATTGCAGACCTGATATGGCGACGAAATTCCCTTGCTGGAGGATTCAACTTTCTCCCTTTAACGCGACAGTGAAAGTACACAAAACGTACACAACACATTAATTGCTTAGTGACCTTTGCGAAGCAAAGATCATACTCATCATTGGAAGAACTATCCACCGTGCAAGCTAATGCCGTCTCGGTGGATTGATCTTCCTATGACGGCAATATGTCCATTACCTGAGAACATAATGGAAGCTTACTTTACCTTTCTTGAAAAAAAGGCAGATTTTGATCTTAGGGTGACAGTGGGTGATAAACAAATTCGTTTCTTTCATTAAATGAAGCGATTACCGGCCACAAGAAGAGTAAAGTTCACTAAAAAAGAATAACATGATCTAAAGAAAGTGAAATTCCAGACCTGAGATGGCGGACGTAATTCTCCTGCCAGAGGATTTACCTCGCTCCCTTGGACATCACTGTAAACGAGAAGAAGACGAAGAGCATTTTTCAATGAAATATGACTTTCTAATTAATAATTTTGAAATATGGAATTATTCTTGACACTAATTTCAGCTACATTTTTACCTTTCACCCTAAAGCTCAACCACCGTCTCTTTCAGAAAATTATCGGAATAACACTTATTTCCCACCAAGCATTCGCAAGTTCAGCTTCAGTTTTAACTACTCAACATTATATTCTCCAGTTATCCAACATAATCAACGAAGAGGCAAAACATTTATCTTGTGGACATGAAATCTCTCACCTTTTATCGCTGGTATGCGCAGTGTGCGTCTGGGTCGGACAGTCAGGGTAAATATAAGTCAATATATATTTAGCCGGACCGTTCGACCCAGCGAACGCATGCTGAGAAACTAAGTTGTAAACGTATCTGATAAACGGTTACGAGTAAGAAACATGAGCTTACATTATTGCTCCTCTTTTATAATGTTAATCCGAAAGATTATGTAGTTTCCTAACTTATGCACAGCAAAGATTATTGTCAACATTTGAATTAGCATCTACCGAGTACGCTGATGCGTTCTGTTGGATTCAATCATCGATATCCAATCTCTAGAAACCAAATAAAGGCCCAAACTACTTTTTTTAAAAAGTAGAGGAGCGTAAAACTAATGATACCTTTGTATTTTTACCACTATTAAAACACACCTCAGACTACAGGAAACTTCAACTTCGTGTTTTATGATTACTTACTCTTCACTTGGTTTCCTTTTTCAGTTTGTCTCTAGAAACTTACCCCCTTTATTCATTTGATTTTTAGATAGCTAACTCACTGGCCTATTCTGAGAATCCAAACCAAGGCAGTGCGAATAGGAAAATTTTCATTTGAGTGTCGCCGGAACGTAATGCCATATTACTTTAGCTTTGCTTTACTACGCTATGTGCTTGTTACGGAAAACAAGTGCCACTTTTTAAACCAGTCAGATTCAAAACTTAAACCAATCGTGTAAAGGTCATACTAGTTCTCCCATGTAAGAAAAAAAGCCTTTTTAGTGGTTATCGCACCGCTAAGGTCGATAGTGATTTTGATTTTTCCCTTTTCGAAAACCCTGATAGCGCTAAATTTAGATTTACATTTTTAATTCCGTTGCTTACATAGTCATTTTCTATTACATCTTTCCGAAAAACGGTTTATGATTTCGTTAACAGCAAAAAACACTGCCACACTATGACGAAAGGCAAAGTCGTAGATTGCGAGAAAGGTCTGAACGTGTTTGTTATTTGACTTCACAGGGACTAATCAATAAAACGTAATTGATGTTACGTGCGCGGTTTCTACTCGTCAAGAAGGAACAACGATGATCAGTGAAATTAGATAACTTTTCCTTCCTAAAACTCATCGTTGTTCCTTCTTGGAACAAGAAACTCTTTTCGTTTTTAATTACAGGTAATTTGACTACAACGGCAAAAAACTCGAAATATTTTACATTAGCGCCAAAATAATGTTTAGGACCAACATTGAGAACTGTGCAATTGCGTGTGGTTCTGAAACAAAATAAAATCGCGCTTTGAATTTTGCCAAACGTTTACTGTAAATAGAGAGACTTTTAAGGTTTCACGATTACTGTCGCTGATCACGACTTTCGCAAGAAGTGCTGTCTCATGAAGGAGCCGTTAATCAGTTCTTTAAGGTTTCTGTGATTCCACCCGCCAAAGCCGTAAAGGATATGGCCATGGAGTTGCATGGTGTAGGCCACATGTACATGGTTGATGTACCTGTCAAAACGATGGATAGTGAAATACCCTTCTCAAATAAGCGTATACGACGATGTTGAAACTTCTAGGTCTTTGATTTCGATCAATGCTCTTCTTCTAACATGATAATTTAAAACAAAATTATGACGACGAAGAAAAAATTAATATACAACAGGAATTTTATCTGGTAGGTTGACACCATATTTCATCTTCAGCCGCTCAAACTCCACCAACCTCCTCCCCTCCCCCAATCTCTGACCCAGGGACATTTCAAGAAGAACAACGAAAAGCCATAGATATCTTTTTCGAAGGTAACGATGTCTCCGTTTCGTCACCAACTGCCTATGGAAAATCTTTTATATAACAAGCAGCGCCAGTGATCAATCGCCTCCCTTCTCTAGAAGAACCGGTCACTATAATTATTGTGCAGCCCGTTAAAGCTCTCACAGGAGACCAGGTGCAATATCTTAATGTACTAGTCCGCCTTTAATTTTCGGTCTGTTTGCGAACGGTGCTGCGAAGCTAAATTAAAGCTTGTTGTTTCTTACAGCGATTCTTTCGACTGAGGAAAGAGTCGCCCTTTCTCCGACCGTGACACTGTTTACTAATGCAAGCAGAAACCGAGTGGACGTTAAAATCTAGTTTCGTAAGCGCGATGCTATTGGAAGATTGTCTTCTTCTTACTCTATACCAAAAATCGCTCATAATCTTTTGCTATATCCTTAAAGCAAAGTATACATTTGAACTCGGACGCTGAATTTGCAAATTTACCCGAAATTCACTTCAATGTTGTTGTTTATCTCGATAACCTTCACGCTATCACGTACAATTTCACCAAAAAAAATACTATCAAGTGACGTCACAGAACACGATTAGTGTCAGGTTTGCGTAGACATTTCCTTGCTTCCGCTTCACCTTAGGGGGAGGGTACGGCTGCACGTAGGCTATGTGACTGGCAGCTGGGGTGGAAGATCCTTTCCGGATCAATATTTGTTTCTGGGCAACCGAGCTCGATGTCGATTTGTCGGATCACTCACGGTTTCTGGGAAACCACTCGATAAACGATTTTCAACGAGACTCGTTGGATCAATGAAGCGAGCAAATGAAGCTACCACAATGCAACGCAATCGGAGTGCGTACACCGCCTTCTATTTGATATGCATTTGGACCTTACAAGGAAGTCTCGTTGATTTATCTATTTATATTTTCGAATTTGTCAGATGTTCTGAAAAAAATATGAGAGGTCGGGGAAACATGTGTAGCATCTCGAGGTATTTTTATTTTTCAATTTAGTTCATTGTTCCATACATGTTATTGTAACGCTCCAGCCATTTTTAAATACTCCGTTCCCAAGCAGCAAACCACCACCGCCACCATTTTGTCCGGCATTTCTGGCAATGAATCCAATTAATGAGGAGGAGTCAAAAATACCTTCTGACAATGCAAATGCGCAACCAATGGCAAGTTGTTAGCAAGGAAAAGAAAAAGATTTAAAAAACAAAAACAAAGGAACAATGAGGATGGGACACAGTCCGTTGCTAAGGTCTCCGATAATTACATTACTGTTGCCGCCAAAAATTCGATTGATTACAAATTCGTACTCTTCTTTTGTCACAGTTCGTTCATTTTTTTTGTCCTGTGCGCATAACTTTCATCAATATTCTGTTACTCTTTCCTGCATAATTGCCTTTTGTTTATGTCCCTTGTATTAGTCTTTTCCGCGGATTTTTTTCATTCGGATCAACCGTTTAATTATTCGAACCGTCTAACTGTTTCTACCGTCTCTCTCGATCGCTTTACGCCGCTTTACGTTGCTTTACGTCGCTTTACATCGTCTTTAATTTGGCAGTTGACCCAGATCTCGTGAGACGTTTGTAAGTTTCTTTTGTTTTCCTTTATTTTTGTTTTCTCGTTTGTTAATTTCTTTACCTTGCAATTGAATTGTGACAACTATAACGTGTAATCCATTTCTTGCAACCGGTTACGTATTTATTACTGAATTTCGTTTCGTTTAGCCATTTTGGAGGTGAAATTGGACATGTAACGAGCATTTGTGGCTACAACACTGATGTACAACCCTATCAATTGGAGCTTCCTTAACAAAGACAAATATATGTGGTAAAAAGCTAGAAAAAGCCGTTGGCCATCGAGCAGTGGTCAAGTTATTCTGTAGGGCCACCTCAAAAGCTATGAAGGCCAACCTCAAAGCTAGCCTGAAGCATTCGCCGGACCAAGTCGTTCTCTATGTCGGCTCAAATAACCTTAAATATAAAAGGTGTTGCAAGATGCTGAATCGATCATAGACAAGTCGAAAATTCATCCGACGCCACCTCCACTATATCGAGGCTTACTTCCACAAGGAATGAATTCAATAGAGCGGTGAAAGATGCCAATAAACATCTAAAGAGCTAGTGCCTTCAGAATGGATGAAAACTTATCCAGCATCTAAAGATCACAGAGAATGGCCTAATCAAGGGAGGACTGCATCTTAGTTATAAAGGTAATCAAAACATTTTTAATAACTTTAACGCGCTCTCCGCAGATTTCCTGCGTGCTGCGTGTGTATTAAATCCAACAGTGAATCCCGTATACTGAATGAAAGTGGTAGAGAGGATCCAACGTAGGTTTGGTAGGATGCAGGATGAGGCTCAAAATCGAGGCGGGATGTGGAATACGAGATACTTTTAAAGGCGAGATGCGGGATAAAGATAGGAAGGCGAGACCGGGACATACTCCGATTCGAATGCCGGATAGGGGTTGGGACAGGTATAGGCGAGCTCATAAAAAGTATTTCTTTGCTTCAGAAACGAGCTTAATTAATGCGTGTAAATCGAGGTTGACATGCCTAAGTGATTCAGTAGTACGTCCAGTTTTCTCTGTATTAGCTACAAATGTTTACACGAAACACCATGGTATATTCAGTTTTCTCACCCTCGCAATTTTCTCTCACGAGTATATCTGAGTGATCATTTGTTTCTGTACGATATTATCGGTTTTTTGAGGATTTCTCTTTGCAATGGTTGTTGCTGTACTAAATGCCACTTGCTCATAAGGATTTTTTGTAAGGTTTGGAGATTTGGAACTGTTGGATAGTATTGTCGGTCAGCGCAGGAAAGAGCTTGAACTTTATTACAAAGGATATATTTCTATTATCAAAATACGATGGAACTACAATTGATAGGATTTTCCTACGATAAGAAAAGCGCAAATGTGGTCATGTGGAAAGACAAGGAGTATGAGTACATCTCAAGCGCATGAAATAAACAGCAATAAGGAGCTTACCATTCTTCGCTTACGAAATGTCAGCCGAAAGGAATGTTGAACAATCGTGTACGGTGTGGGAACAGGCCCTCTAATCAGCATTATTTATAAATGAATTCATTATAATAATAATAATAATAATAATAATAATAATAATAATATTATAAACGAACTAGTTGACCCATCCTAATATATTGCCTACTACCACGCAGCGCCTACGACTAAACGTACTTATTCTACATAGGAAGTAGAACGTGTGGGAACAGGCCCTCTAACCAGCATTATTTATAACTGAAATAACAATAAGTAAAAGAAATAGAAAACCAAATCTAACCTGCTTATGATGAACAAGTATGTGAATACATGATTTAAGAGTATCTCATGAAGCACTATTAAAAAACATATGTACCTCTTGCGAGGGCCATATCTATTGCTCAGAAAAATAAAATAACATAAAATAATGCACAAAAAATGGTATATTCAGGAAAACTCGCAAGGCACTTGGGTGGATAATTTCTAATTTTAAATACAGCGATTATCTATACCTTTTAGCAAGTTAAAAGTGGGGGCATATAAATCTCCAACGAAACAGAGTTACTCTTAGTCTTTCGAGTCCCAATGAAGCCCAAAATCCTTGAAATTACAAGGTTTCGATGATGCGAGAGGTCTGAGAACTAATTTTACCTGCTAGCATAGCCTCTCGATTGAAATCTACATTAACGTGACGGGTTGAACAGCCGTTTTGAGATAATAAGGTTAGCATCGTAGCAATCGTAATGTAGGCAGAATCTTTTTGTTAAGTCTCTTGGATTTTTACGAAAGAAAATTTGAAGCTCTTAACTCGGAGAATGGGCTATTTTTGGTGGAAAAATCAGCATCTTTCCAAAGTGCCGGAGGGTTGTTCACGTCTCTGATCTTGGAAATCTTGTACTGCGCTGGTTGACTCTTGACTTGGGAAGCATTTTCAAATAAAGATTTCATGCCGTTAGGGTTTTAGCTGGTGATGGGAAGGGTCGTAATGAAGCGGGGACGGCCTCACGAGGATGAAGACCTCGAAGAAAAAAGAATATCGAGTGAGTTCCCTCCAGTTTACAGTGTTTGTGGCCGAAGGCGAAGTCTGAGGAACATACGGACACTTGGTGAGCCAAACGAGGCGAGTCATCTAATATTTGATAGATCTTAAATTTATTCGTACAAACATTCTAATTTTTATGATAAAGCACAGGAGCTTATGTGTTGTTTCAAACTGCCCCCTCCTACGTGGTACGACTCATGTGCATGTGACTGTCGTTCGTGCCAAGGGAGTAAGGAATTAAAAAACCTTACCCTCCTAGGGTGGTTAATTTAAAGCGGAGGTGTCAAGTGTTTCTATAGGGAATACAAGTGTCTTATTTTTAAGGTCAAGGAGTTGAATGGTATTGAGTTCGCTCTTGTGAAACAATAAAACATTCTTAAAGATGGGCAAGGAACATGTTGCCATGGCTTTACAGAAGTTTAAAGACGACATTTAATAGCGGTGATACAAGTAGATTTGCTCTCACACTGCAGTGATGCACTCTGTATGAGAGTCATCTGCATTGCTATGAAAGGTGACCATTTTGATGTAAGGCCATACACTGTACCTTCTTTTTTCGTCACCAATTAAACAAGTTTTAAAGTTTTTTAAAATAGTCAAATCAATTGCTTCTTAATGAGAAGAAAGTAATAAATGTTCCCTGATCTTGCCTTCTACAAAACAAATAGGTCCACACTGCTTTCGTGTGTCTTGGACAATAATAATAATAATAATAATAATAATAATAATAATAATAATAATAATAATTAACATTTTTAGAGCACCAAGCTTAAAAAAATATTCTGAAGCACCTTACAAAATATTCTATAGAAATATTAAAAGAATTAAATGATAAAATATGAAAAATATGAAAAATGAAAGATATTAAAATGTTAAAACTATTAAAAATGTTAAAACAACTGAAAAATGGCTACACTGACTGTTTTGAATTTCAAGCAGCAGTTTGTTCCACAGAAGTGGCCTGGAACAGGCCAAGGTGCGATCAACAAAGGTCTTGAAATTAGTTCTTGGGATCTTAAGAAGGCCAGGAACGTAGGTGATGACCAGAAATGGAGTGTGGCTGCAGATATTCTTCTCAGTGAAGATGCAATAAGGCGAACGAAATGTGATCAAACTTTGGAATCCTAAATATTAATTGAGCAGCATTGTTAACCACCTTCTGGATACGATCTGTCAGGTACTGGGATGCCTAAGAGAAGAGAGTTACAGTAGTCCAAATGTGAAGTGACAAATGCATCAATAAGAATCTTCGTGGACTCAGGACTAAGGAATTTCCTAATTTGGCAAATAAGATGAAACTGCATGGTTACAGTTATTCTGTGCCATAGGTCTGCTTTGAAGGTATGCTGAATGGATGTTGATGGTTGCATCAGCGTGCTAAAGTTGACTGGTTTTCAAAGAAGTTATTTGATAGCCTGTTTAAGTAATTAAACCTTTTTAGCCATGTGGTCACATGGTTTGAAATGGGTAAATGAGAATCAAAAATGACTGCTCAAGTATGTGTTTCAGATGATATCTTATAGATGAAACTGCCTCTTCTATTGCTGAAACTTTCATTGTCACAGGTAAATCAGCACTTTAAAGACTGTGGTATAAGAAATCGGCAACAAAGGAAATATAGTTTGTAATAAAGATTACAAACACCTCAAGCTGGAATGACAAACTTTTGAGTGAATGATCTTTCATGGTCACATCATGCAATATTCCAAAGACAACAAATGCTCTGTGAACATAGAGTCATAGTATCCCTGAATAGCCTACCTCAAATTTTACTTGAATCCATGTCTGGAATTTTTATTTTCAAGACAAATTTACGGCATTTTCCCTCTCTTTCTTCACCCTTTTGGAAGACTTAAACATGCTTTTTTGCCCAGCCTTTCAGCATTTTCTGTTGTGGCCAGAACCACAGCTACTTAATACCACCTTGAATTTGGCACTTTGATCTTGAAAATTCTAGTGGAATTATTCAATTATTGATTTCAAGGCTGAGGCATGTGTGTTGCTGATGATGTCTCTGTGATTGGCTAAGGTATAAAGCTACTTCTGGTCTGAGGGGGTTAAAAGTGTGGACTTATCTTTGTTGTTGGATTAACTTTGGCAGAATTCTTAGCTGGATAAATTTTTGATAAATTTAGTGCATTTATCAGGCACAAAATATGCACACAATATCACATTGCAGCTAGTAAGTTAAATTACAGAAAATTTAAAGTAATTTTGGAAAAAATTTAACATTATGCATGGTCCTTAAAAACTACTATACATGGTAAAATTTGCATCATAAAATCTATGTTTATTAGTATCAAATTTACTAATTAAGTTAAAACTAGGAATTGTCTTTTCCATACACAGATGGTATAAAAGAACATTAATTTTGTATCTGTCAATTCTTGTGAGCAGTCTTTGGAAGGTTTGAGTTTTCCATGTTCAGTACTTTGGTAGGGGCTTGAGTGGTAGCTTTAACCTTGGCATTTAAAGCAGACACATGAAGGCTCCTCTAAAGGGGAATGTAAAGAATAAAAAGGATCACTAGGCAAAGATATGTATGAACTTGTAGGAATGGTAGAAGGGATTGCCACTTTCAGATGAGTTTATGGTATTAACTAAATGTCTTCATGATCTACCATTTGCTCCTTAATAGCCTCAAGTCTCCAAGTAGGAAGATTGTTTGGCCTGAATTAGAATTGCTTTGCTTGCTGGTTAACTTGAACCTTCTTTGTCTTTGTGTCTTTCCAGTCTCCCAGAGTAACTATGCAGTAGTTTATTTCCTCTCCTAGAAGTCTATTCTGAGTAAACTTGCAATTAATGATTATAAAAGCTAATTATAATGGTTATTTGGAAAGTACAGACTAAATTATGAATAAAATTATTTAGAATTACAACATGCTTTAAAATCCACAAGTGTAGAAACTAATGAAAATTGAAATGTTTTAGTGAAAATGTGGTGGTCTTTGATGATATCTTGGGCAGCTAACAGTTCCATGATAAAATTGTAACACTGCAGAAACCACAGCACAGGGAATCACTTTCACATCAGGACATTTATGCTTTGGGCACTGAACCCAAACCAGAGAATTGATGCATTCATTTCAGTTCT